AAGAAAATTGTTGCTTGATAATTGATTACTACCCGGGTATATTAATATAATAATAAGTAAGACTAGTACTGTATTTTAAATTTTATAGTAATGATATACCCTGCCACTAATACTACCCCTCTCCTAGTAAAATACCCCCGGGTATTAATCAATTTATTAGAGAGTAAATTGATTAATACCCAGGGTATTGTATGCAGTGGTATATGGTAATACTACACAAGACTTTTTTAACTGTTAAGTATTACATATCTAGAAGAAGAATTTATGTTTAAGAAAGCATGAGCAGACTAACTTTTATATATAATAACAGTTTGAGACAAGAACTAAATAAGCTTTGAAAATAATTAATCTTTTCTTTATAAGGTTTTATATATATTTAATAATCACAAATATAAGAGCAATTTATTTTTTTTTTTTTTCAAATTCTTTTTTCTATTAATAAACAATTTTTTCTTTCACTTTAAGATTTTCTTTTTAGGTCTCTTTTTCTTTTACTTATTTTATTTATCAATTTTCTAATTTGCTATCTTCCTATTTTAACCAAACTATTAATTTTACTCAAGTTAATATTTTATTTGTTCAAGAAGTATAGATTCTTTTTAAGAATTCTTTTTTTAATCTAAAAAACTTAACTTAAAAAGATCAACTTAGTTTTATATTAATTAAAAAGTTAGAGTTATAAAAGAACAGTTGATTTCATTATCTTAAAAGTTCTATATATATTTTTTTATAATTAATAACTATATTAAATCAATCAAATACAAGAAAAAATTATAGAAGAAAAAAATTTGATTGACAGTACTGGTCATATAAAGTCTTGCTTTGCTGAGGGCCTAGGTTGCTAATCAATATGTTAAAAGTTAAATATCTAATAATATAACTATTCTATTTACTATTTAAGAAAAATAATTATGAAATTGTTTTCTTATTTTATTCAATTTTTAAATTTTCAAAATAAAAAACTATAAGCAGCTTACTTTTATTAAAAAATTAATATAAGTTAATTATGTTATATTAGTATTTGGATTACTAATATAGACAAAACTGTTGACCTTCAATTATATTCTTTTTGGTTACATAATTATATGAGTTCAAATCACAATTCAAAATCCAAATATTATACCTCTTATTTATTATAAATACTTATAAATAGAACTCTGAAAAGTATCAAACTAGTATTGAAATAATATCAATTTATAGTAAATTTAATATATAGATTATAATCTACTTATATGATTTTATAATAAATTTAAATATTGAACTAGTATTATATTAGTATTAAAATAATATCATTAGAAGCTTTATTTATAAAACACACATCCACAATTTATAATTTAACTAGTAATTAACTCTCTATTTGAATTTTTAATTGTTACATATATTAACTTTTATTTTTAATAGATTAAAATTAATTTATTTTGTAAAAATTTTTAATGTTTGATAAAAAATAAAAGTTTAATAAAAATCTTTATTTGATGCTTATTAAAAAAAATAAAATAAATAAAATAAAAATTTTTTTGATAACAATAATTAAAACAAAACTATATTATTAATAAAAAAATCAATTATTAATTATATTGATAAAACAACAATATTATTATTATAGCCAATCAACTATTAAAAAAATATATTATTAATACTATTGTTTATTTTAAATAGTGGTTTAATTATTTTTAAAAATATACAGTATATAATATTATACTTTAGTTAAATAAAACCATTAATATAATATATTATATAAATCCAAATAGATATTTATAGCTGTTTAAAACCTCTTCTCACTAATTCTTTTGCCAACCCAAAAAAACAGACATTCTTGAAAAATTTTTTATTTTTCAATAATAAAATCTAAATACTTTCTTTAACAACATATATTCTTGAAGGCAACAGTCTCCTCCACTTGTTTACCTTTTCTTCTTCAAAACTTTTTGGACATTTCAGTAACAGAATATCTAAAACTCATTTATTTGGTCTATAGCAAGAACACCTTACTGGAAAAAAAAAACTTGTTAAAAAAATACTCTCTTTTATCCTTTCTCAAAATCAGGAATTCTAGAAGAGTTTACTAGTAAATGCATTTCCCAAGCTTTATAAGAATCTTGGATCCACTATAAGTGAACTTCTTTGTTATTGAAGGTGAATAGATAAGCTAATGTTCTGGTTTATAGATGTAGACATATGATTCTTTCTATTAATCAAATATTTGCAGCAGCTCTTTTAAGTATGTCAACAAATTTTCAGAAATTTTGAAGGAATTTTGCCTATCTTAGTTTGACCCTGAATTTTTTGTTACATTAGAATCTCCAATTGGTGATTGGTCAAAATTTTGGATTGGCTGATTAACACATAGCAAAAAAATAAACAAAATATATTCTTCTTATATGTTTTCTGTTATATAATACAATAATAATAATATAATTAAAAAAAGCTAAAAAGCAAGACATTGTGATGTTCTCTTGAATAGAAGAGATTTGATGATTTCTTTCTCCTCTTTTAAACTGGTTTCTTTTCTCTTCAGAATCAAAAGAAGTCTCATTCTAATCCAGTAACAAGCTTCTTCTACTGTTAATTATCCTGAGAAGGCATTAAGCAATAATTCCTTAAGGTATAAGTCTTGTTTCAAGCAATAATTTCTTATAGATATAAGACTTGTTATAAGTACCTTGAACATTCTTGGTTAGCAATAGAATAGTGAAAATTAAATAATTTGTCCAGTTGCAAATAATGATAAAGGATTTATTCTGATAGATCAAAGTTAATATTGAAGAATTTTTATTTACCAAAACAAACTTTTTAATTATCTATTTTTATTTTCTCTCTTTTTTCTAAAAAATAAAAATTTTTTATCTCTTAGGACCACAGGTTTATTTGGAGGTGACAGTTTGAATATAGGCTGGTGGTAATCTTTCAAAATATAGACTTTTGATGCCTTGTCTTGAAAAGGAGCAATATTATCATTCCTTATAATCACATCTAGAGAGTTTAGATTTAGAAAGTCTAAAATAGTTAATATCATGCATTAATAGTTTAATGAATCTACTCTCTTGTAGTGAGATAATTAGTAAATAACTAAATCATATAGGCAACATGGTGGTCTTGATATTAAGGATTCAAGAATCATGTACAAATTTAAATTCATTGACAGGTGTTTTGCAAAATTGTACTAATTTAGCTTTAGTATAATATCATGTATATTGTATTACTGTTCTCCAAAAATTGGATTAATAAATGTTTTTATTTGCAGTCTGATTAGAGGCTAAAAAAAAAAAAAAAAAAAAAAGATATTTATAGCCGTTTAGCATTGTTTTTGATATATATTGGTTTTAATATTTTTTTTTCTTTGCAATTTAAATAATTTACTATAGACAAGTTAATTTGTTATAGGCAAATTAGTATTAAATTTATTAATTAATTGGTTATATAAGAGATATTATTATTTTTTTTATATAATAATTTTTCAATTTTATAATTATAATAAAATAATAATATTTATTTTTTGTTGGCTAAGAACATTAGATGTGAGACTTTATTTACTAATTGATAATACTGTTATTATATCAAACATATTTACAAATTATTCTATTATTATTCTAAAATATAAATTATATTACCTGATAATTATTGTATTTAGTAGTATTGGTTTTCCAAAGACCAATTTGACTGTCCTGGTTAGTCAGCTTGAAAATGATAATATTTATCTATTTTTTAAAAATATATATATATATATTAAAATAAATTTGAAGATTAATTTATATAAAATAATTGTAATATTTTCTTGTAATTTGATATTTGTTTTCTTTAATAAGTAATTATAATTGTTTAGATTATTTAAATATAATATATTGGTTTCAAAATTCTATTTAAAATATAATTAAGCAAGATAATATTTGATTTAATATTTATTTATTATATTTTATAATTTATATGTAAAAGTTATTCTTTTTTTTCAAGATGTATACCATGTTATATACAAAACAAATAAAAAAAATAAGGTTTAATTTAAAAAAAAAATTAATATAAGAATAAAAATATTTTGTTTAAGTAAAATAATAAAATCTTATATCAAAAAATAGATTATTAAAAAAAATTTTTTTTTGATAATCATTTTTGTACTACGTTAACGTATATTATTGCCTACACCAAATAGAAGAAATTCTCTAATACGTAATTATGACATGGAAAAATCTATTATCAAAGAATCTTAAAGAACTTCGTGTTCATTTTTGTCAGACTTCACCTGCTAGCAGTGGTGTTAGGTAAATAAATTGTTGAGAAGTCACACTTGTAACAAATATTATTTTAATTCTTGCTTCCGTTTTAGAGATTTCATTGCCAGCAGCTATCCTTCGATCAAATCAGCTAACCCTCATTTTCCATTTCTAATACGCGAAGCAAGTGGTGTCGAAGCGCGCTTTTTTGCTCGATATGGTAACTTCTAAGAGATTAAATTATTGTTATATATTGCACTCTCATTAATCGATACTAATTCTTTCAATTTTGTTAGATTTTGGTAATGAAAGAAAGATCGTATTGAATAATCTTTCGGCCAAAGAGGTTGAATCAAAGTTGGAAGAATTAGTTACTCAAAATATGGGCACAAATAAAAATGCCTAGTCATGTTCAAAATTATATAACACGGGAGTTTTAATGAGATTATGAAGGAAAGCCGAAACATGGCTTCGGCGTACATAATTAATCACTTCTATCGAATCGGCTGTCATTCCTGTAAATTAAAAGTCAATTAAATCCAGTTAATTCTTACTAAATACTATTTAAATTGTACTTTCCTGATGTATCCATATTCTTTGCGGAAAATAAAGTCTATAGGTCAAAAAATATATAATTTTCCAAGAAAATATATCAAAATTACGCTATTTGAAAAAAATTTCTTGTAGAAAAAAAAAATTTAATTTGCGCACGCCGGGAATTGAACCCGGGTCTGCCGCGTGGCAGGCGGCAATTATACCACTAAACCACATGCGCCAATTAGTTATTAAAACGGGCATTATAAAAGTATTTATGTAATAAAATACAGTTAATATATCTAGTATTTATACAGTATATATACTGACTATCTTTATATACAGTCAAACCTCGTTATACCGAAGGACTAAGTAAAAACCCACTATACCAAAGGTAAGTACAGAAACATTTATAACAAATTTAATCCGTTATATCGGATTTACTAATTGAACCTCATTATACCGAATTTCTTGAAATTTTTGCCTTATGGTCCCGACCTATTTGTTATAACGAGGTTTGACTGTAATTGAATATTTGTCCTTGATATCTTATCTCTAAATATGATTTGAAATAAATAAGTGCTTCTTTTTATCTTAAAATTATTTATATATTTATTTATATTATTAAAAAACTTATTTTTCTTTTGATTTCTGAAAAATTTTTTTTATTATCTTACATGTCAACACATAAAAAATCCTACTCAAAATAACAATAACAACTTTCGAAAATACATAGATGGTATACTTGCCTCAACCTTCGGAAACTCGCCTGGACCTGGGGAATTAGAGATATAAGTCATATTATTAGATGTATCTGAAACACATCTCGATATTGAGTAAAGATTTGAGATCCTCAATTGAGATCACATGATTTTGATCGTTTCTCAAGAAAACGGGTTTTGAAATTACTTGATGTATAATGTTTTGAATTTGTGTACAGTCAAACCTCGTTATAACGAATAGGTCGGGACCATAAGGCAAAAATTTCAAGAAATTCGATATAACGAGGTTTAATTAGTAAATCCGATATAACGGGTTAAATTTGCTACTTAGTCCTTCGATATAACGAAATTCGGTATAACGAGGTTCGACTGTATTGGTAGATGTCAAATTTCAAAATTATCTGAATAGCGAATCCAGGATAAAATTTCTTCATGTACAGATCGTTTAGCTTTTCTAAACAAATTGATTAGGCTTTGTGTTGTGATTTAGATACTTATTTTTCATTATTCACGATGTCTTCGGGAGGTGTTTCTATAGGATTAGGTATAGCAATAAACATACCATTCTGTAAATCTCGTATTAAATCTAGTTCTATATTTTGAATTTTATTAAGCAATATCTACACTATTTTCAATATTATCCCTAGGAAACGGTTTTTATATCACATTATGAATTAATTATCTTTACCATATGATGTAGGGTTTTGGGCTTAAAGCTTCTTCTCCTTATTGTGTTGCCTTGTTTTATCACTAATGCTTTTCTTATATGCCTCATTCAAGAATTTATCCATCTCTCTCTCCTCCGGTGACTTGGAGTTGACCTCTGGTAACACGTGTTGCTTGAGCTGATCTGCTATGGAATCATCATCAGCAGATACCTCTGGTAATATCTCTAGTATCGCTTCCTTAGATGGTTGTCCATTTACTGCCACAGAACTCTGTTTCACTACTACAAGCCTAGCCTCAAGCTCTTTATTCTTTTGCTCTAATTCCTCGGCTCTAATATCACGCATTGCATTCTCCTCAATGATCTGCTTTAGCTTCATATTTTCAGATTTAATCTCAGCAAATTTCTTTTTAAGTTCAGGAATCTTGGCATTCTCTTTCTAAGCTCAGCAATCGTAGAAATGAGCTGAGAATTTAATTATTGCTACTAATCGATTTTTGATTGATTGTCTGACATTGTTTATACAAGACGCGGATTATGTTCATGACTCTGATCGTGACGGTTTTTGCCAAAATCCTCGAACTATGATTTATCCTTTCGTGGGGCACGGTTTATCAGTAAGACATGTCCAGTGTTCGATAGGGAAAAATAAAATAAGATTCAAGTGTTTCGATCATTTTTTACGATAACACATGACCTTTTAACTACATGATATTGCAAAAGATTTTATTAATCGGATCATTATGTATTGTGTACTAGACTTTCTACTCTTCCAAAATGGGTGCTTGGCATTCAATCGTAAAGAAAGCAAAGAAAATCGGACATAAAGTTAATTAAACAGTCCATAGCTATCCCAAGTTACCAAAATTTTTCTTAGAAGAAAAAAAGTGAGTGTGCCCCACGTACTGTATGTTTCCTCAATATCTGTTCCATGTTGACTTGTACGGTCTAGTTTGCCCTTTCAAATTGGGTCGAAAGTTTCAGTTAAAGATTATAACACTTCTCTTGATCAAATTTCATTGGGACAACGGGAAATGTATACATTGTTGATATGGCCAACGAAGAACGCGAAGTTGTTGTTTCATTGCTTTTTTGAACCAAATAATGGTGTGAAACGTGATCTTCCGATAGTGGTTACAGGTCAATCGTGTAAGAGATTCCTTTTGGTCTGCTTGATATTTGCCTTGTAATAACAATTCTCAATTTAGATTATTTAAAAAATATATAAATAATTTGCAAAATTTTTATATATTGTTTTGATAAACTTGTACAATAAGAAAATAAAATATTTGTAATTTTATTAACCTTTTTATACCGATATGCCTGGATCAGATCATTTGTATTGTTATAACCAGTTTATCGGTATAAAAATTGACTTTTTACTATATATTATGATAAATGGGTAAACAAAATTATATCGTTATAACCAGAAATCGTTATAAAAA